AGGTGAGCGCTCTACCTCTGAGCCACAACCCCAACCCCCTAAAAATATTTTATTTAGAGACAGGGTCTCACTGAATTGCTTAGGGCCTCAATATGATGATGAAACTGGCTTTGAACTTGCCATCATCCTGCCTCAAACTCTTGAGCCACTGGGATTACAGGGATTATAGGCAAGTGCCACTGTACCTGGACACACACACACACACACACACACACACACACACACACACACACACACACATACACTCTTGTCTTAACACCATAACATCTTTCATCTGTTTCCCAACTACAGAAGGTGTTACATAAATATGAGGAATTACTACTGTTCTGATTTTCCATTCCCCTTCAGCCAGTCATTATCTTCCTTGTCCCTGCTGCTTCCTTCTTCTTTGGACCCTTCCCTAGTGCTTCCTGACTTTTCAACATACCAATTCCTCACATTGCTGCCTACTTAGTATCCTTCCTAGCCTATGAAACTATTGCAGACTGAGAGAGTCCTGAGTTTCACATTATTTATGTCAACATGAAATAAGAATTCTTGGGGCTGGGGCTGTAGCTCAGTGGTTGAGTGCCTTCCTCACATGTGTGAGGCACTGGGTTCTATTCTCAGCACCACATAAAAATAAATAAATAAATAAAGATATTGTGTCCCTCTACAACTAAAAAAAAAATTAAAAAAGAATTCTCTATGCATGTACATGAGTATGTGCCTGCACAATTATGTCTTCATACTCAATTTATATTATGAATGATTGGTAGGCACTCTGTAAATCCAAGACATAGTCATAGCCACAGTTGTGCTATGTCTTCATAGATCTTTTGTAGGACTATAAGGATCCACACAGTTATGTTAAGGAAATTTTCAAGATAGAACTTTCTAGCATAGTTATCTCTGAAAAACATCTGGAATTTCCCATTTTGATTGTAGCAAGACTACATATATATGTAGTAAGAACTTTTAAATGTATTTTATATTCAATTTGATATAACCAAATAGAGATACACACACGTATACACACATAATTAGAAATCTGTATAACAGATATACACAAATATGTACAGCTATAAATGTGAACAGTTCTATTTCCTGTAAGAAGGAACCAAAATATATTTAGAATTTTACTCTTCTGTCCAGAATTTTTGTGTGCTTTAACAGATTTAACAGATTTGGTTGCTGTCCAAGTACTTATACTGATTGGTAGAACATAAACGGGGCACATAGCTTGTCATGATCTACAGTCTTGTCTGGGTAACATGAATAACACTGATAATCTAGATTAGTTTGCAGAGACATTGTCAGGACTAAAGAGATTACATAGTGCCTGCTCACATAAAATGTGGCTGATGTTTTTAGTTTTTAGCTGTACCTACCTCAGATTAACTTTTTCCTTTTAAGGAAAAGGTCGGTATGTTTTTAGGGCATATCAAGAAAAAATGGAGAGAGAGTTTAGGCACACAATGTATTAGATGGTACTGGTCAGCAAGTTAAATTTTACTTAAGTTATTTAGGAAAGCATCAGACAATTATTTGTGCTTTTTTTTCCCTATGGGGAGGAATACCAGGGATTGAACTCAGGGGAACTTGACCACTGAGCCAAATCTCCAGCCCTATTTTGTATTTTACTTAGAGACAGGGTCTCACTGAGTTGCTTAGTGTCTGACTGTTGATGAGGCTGGCTTTGAACTTTCAATACCCCTGCCTCAGTCTCCCAAGCTGCTGGAATTATAGATGTGCACCACTGTGCCTGGCTGGTATTTGTGCTTTTCACTTTTGTCCCACACTATGACTGGCTTAAGTTGTATTTACCCTTTTCTCTCTGATTATTCTTTTTTGTAGATTTTTTTTTTTTGTAGAACAGTTTTGTAGAATTGAGACATTTTGGAAATAGTTCCTTATGTACACCTTTTCATTTTGGGTCTTTCCTACTTCTATCTTTCTGTGTACATCTACTATGTGGGGTGAATGGTTCTCTCTAGTTCTTATTTATTTAAAATACATTGAGACATTTACAGAAAATGATTCACTTCAGATAAAAGCATATATCCTATGGAATGGTTTGATTTAAAGAGAGACAGTAGAGATTCTAGAGAGGGAGTCCTAGATTAGAGATTTAGAACAGTTCTGCTTCTAATTAGAATGGTGACATTGGACAAATTAACATCTTTGAGTTCCAGTTTTTTCATCTATACAAGGAGGGCACTCAGCAAGATGATTTCTAAGAGTTTTACAAGTTCTAAAAATCTCCTCTTCCTATATCAGGAGCCAGGAATTCTGTGTTGTAAGATTTGGCCAAGAATGATTCTTTCTGTGCCTTGGCCAAGAACCATCATTGTCCTTTGTTTATTATATCTCTAAAATATGCATTTCACAGGTATTTTTAAGGTGATTAGTTAATGTTCATAACATGCTTTGAAGATCTTTTGTGTATGCTGTCTTTCTATCCTGTCTTATGCAGTGGTCTGTAATAGAAACCAAGTGTTCTGTAAATAAAATCAGTATTTCTTAAGATATGACTGAGGGTTTTTTGACATTTACCAGTCTCAGTATTAAAGTAGTGGAGCACTAAGCTTGCATAAAATTATATTTTAAATACATATTTAATAATTTTCTTCGTTTTTTCTGTAGATGAAAATAATTTTTAATTCTGGAATGTAATGATTATTATAAATATATTCATAGTTGCTAATAGAGTATCTGCCAGGGTAGTAAAATCTGATTAACTTGGATACTGCTAATTTGTAATTGGGGTAATTTTACCTGGCTGAAGTTTATTTCTAAATGACGTATGAGGAATGTTGTTAAGCAAATTAAAATAGTGTATAGTTCATGGATCACATTTCTACTCAAAGGACTGTTTTTAAAGCCTTTGGCATAATATTTGTTTGCTTATGAGAGAAAATTACAAATGATTTAGCAATTTATTAAAGCAAAAATAAGAATTAGATATACATAAATGTCCACAAGCTTTTGAATTTTTGAGTTTTTAAGGATGCTGAGGATGGTGTGCAAGGAAGCAATCTTATTTTCTTTTCACTTTACTTTGAATAAATATTAAAAATATTGGAATGCCACAAAACTAGTATTGAGAAATCTAGACTAAAATTGATGCAGAAAATTAATGAATTTGGTTTTTTGGAATGTAATGAGATTAGAAAAAAATGTTGTTTTTTCTCAATCAGTTGATTGTTCACAAAAGAATAATAACTTGAGAATCTTTACAATAAAATGGTCTTCACCTGCATAATGGGGTAAAATATATTTTTAGAAATTTGGAAAACTCTTCTTTAGCCCTATTTTCTGCTAAGAAGTTTTGAGGAATCTCTATAGACAAATAGACTGCTAGATTCACTTCACTCCATGGATTTTTGTAGAGTTTTGGGGTCTTTATTCTCAGAAGTTGAAGTCACATTTGTAATTACTGCTTTGTAAAATTTTCATAAGCATGAAAATGTTCAATTGAATTTCCTTTCTAAAATATCACCTCTTACTATGTATTATTATATAGCTTTTTATGTTTTATATTTTTAAATATTTGCAAAAGCTTCAGGTTTTGAAAATTTGTTTGAAATTCACTGTGGAATGAGACATTCCAACATTGATGCCTACATACGTGTGTGAGCCTGCACATGTATGTGTGTGAGTGTGTGTGTGTGTGTGTGTGTGTGTATTCTTTGGTTTTCAACAAGTTGACACTGATAATTGTACCTGGGACATTTCTGATTTAAAACACTAAAACTTTATAATGTAAAATGCATTGACTATGGTATATTTGTATTAGTGGCATAAGTTTTTTTTTAACCTTTTAAATATATTTTGGCCATGAAGGTATTGATAAAATACTCCTTTCTCTGATTCCTTTAAAGATTTTTATGACACAGTTTTTGTACAGATACTTAAAAGGAGTTAGAAATGTAATTTGGGTTTTTTGAGGGGCATTTGCATATGATAGATTGAATAAAAGTTGTATATGAGGTAGTGGTGGCTAACATCAATTTAATATTAATAAAGTTTATGTATTACTGATAGATGCTTTAAAATAAATGTTCTCTCTCCATATATGTATTTGTGTGTGTATGTTGCATATACATAATGATTGTAGTTCATAGGAAGAAAATAGTTTGTCTTTTTGCCTCCATATTGACCTGTATTTTAAAAGGATGGTTCTTGTGATTATCTTAGGTGATTCTGTGCTGAATTTCTGGTATATTAAATTGTGTATTTTGGAGTTTGTGAAAGTAGCTTCTTACTATAATCTGAGCCCTTTTAAATACAAATGAAAAATCCTCTTAACCTACTAAATCTTAATATTAAAAAAAGGAATATTTTAAAAGTATCTGAAAGCTGAGTATTTCAGCTGGAAGCACAGTTTATTTGGATACAAACATGAAAGTAAATATGAGCTCTTTGTCACTACAGTGATTTTGTTAGAAGGGAGTGACTTTTGTTTCAGGGTTGATCTGCCTTTATTAAGCTTGCATTGATGGAGATGGATAATTTTATCTTCACGTAGACATAGAAGGGTGTTATGATGGTATGTTTTTAGTGATTAACACTTGCCTACATTAGAAGTAAAATTCTTCAACTGTAAATAAAGAGTTCAGCAGAATACAATTTTAACTTATTGTTACTTTTGAGAATTGTGTAGAAATTTTATGAATTTGTTTTGGTGCTGTAAGCAGAAACTTAAAACGCCCACCACTTTTGAAGCATTCACAATGCTGTTTTCTGGAAGTATTTTAAAACAATATAGATGAACCCTTTATTTGCCATTGCTTTCACGAAATATCTCAAGCTGCCTTTGACAGCAGCTTCAATTTTTGAACCTTTGTGACAATCGCTAATCCCTAGAGGTTACTGGGCAGCCGCTGAGCTTTGGAGTGGTCCCTGCTGGACACCTGCTTGGCCAGCAGCGTTGGTCTTTCCTCTAGGCAATTTGTGAGCTGTTTGGGGGCGGATGGGGGAGGAGTGAGGGGGGTGAACGGGAGGAGAAAGAGGGAAGAAGAAGGGGAGGGCAGTATTGAATTAGATTGTTGATAGCGTCCCTCTGAGGACTGCTATTAAGAGCACGCTATTCTGTACTTCTCTGCTGCAGAAGGCAGAGAGAGATTCGAGTTCCACGGCATGTTGTAAATGTATGAGATTTTGCTCATCCCGGCTTGGAAACAAAAATAGGGGAAGGAGAGCAACTTGAATCAGAAGCAACTAGAAGAGCGTGCAGAGTTCTGCAGCAGTTTATATTTGTTCTTACATTTTGCTTTCTTCTAACTGGAAAACAAGGGATTGGCATTTTTAAACAGGCTTTTCCCATAATGGCATTCTTGTATTGTGTGGCCAGAGCTTGCACAGGAGGAAAGCAGGCTGCTGAATTTAGTCACTGATCTCTATTAGCTGTGGCCTAAGGCTATGCTGAGGTTTATATCCCATTTGTATTGTTGCAGCTCAAAAGAAGAATGTTCAGAGGATGACAAGTGTATTCTGAGTAGGTATGTTGTTTCATTTTCATATGAAACCCATCTATTTTTTTCCTGCTACTATTGGTCAGAAATCAGGTTAATAGGTGCAGAAAATACTATAGTGCTGCAGTATCCCTGTTAAGATAGAACAATAGCATTGCAAGCTTAAAAAAAATCAAACCCTTAGCTGCTTTTATTAACTAAAGCTGCATTGTATGGTATGCACAGTGCAGTCATATTTTGATACGTTTATACAAACATGGAATATAT